TATACTACGTAGATATACGTTATAATAGGTAAATAGGTACAAATAAATTTTACCTGCTTATCTTATACAGCTATCGTTATTTAGATACATTACGGGTAACCAAAATTACCTATAACATCATTGTTGATGATATCATCACATAATTTGTGTTGTTTTTTTTATGTTGGAATAGATTGGTATCTGTGTAGATTCTAAATACATATATAAAACGAACAATGATATCTGAATATTCCACTGTTATCATTAACAAAACCACGTACTTAGATACATATCAGTTAACCAAACAGATAACTCAATCATAAGAGTTTTCATATATTATTGGTACCTTTAGGTACTCTCGCTGGAACTATTTTTTATTTACCTACGTATAGCTAATTACAGAATATATAATACATACAACTAAATTTACCTATTGTTTCGCTCTAATAATAAATAGTATAACGATCATTATCCACGTTCAACTTACTTCGTAGCACTGAATAACAACCAACGGCTTAGATTTATTGTTCTTCATATTGTAATATTCTGTTACGGCTAATATTTTTTACGAAATTACTATCCAAAGTTTTCGACACTGTTTAATAACTCTGTAACACAGTACTGATCACAAAGAACTGCATGTTCATAACACTAGATTAAACTCCAAAATTGCACATAATGTTCAATTTTAACGACTGTTTAAAAATCACGCAAATAAAAGCAAGAGCGCATGAAGGTCGCGATTATTTTCCGAAGCGCGGAAAATCGGTGGAATTATTGTGACTGGAGCAAATACGCGATACACGGTCGACAAACTGCAATAAGACCGGCGGACTGAGCGAGCACGGATACTCCGCGCCGGCAGCAATCGCTGCGATCAAGAGAGCAGGCCGCTTATCAGTGCAAGGCGGAATCATGCGAAATCATGCCCCCAATGCATTCAAGAAATTGAATACTAAGTCAACTATATCCAATTAATACGCTTGCTACTATTATTGTCTTCGAACATAACAGAATTAAACGGCATTTGCTATTATCTTAGTAAGATTATAAAATTATATTACAAAATAAAATAAAAGATTATATATTTATAAATGTTTGGATGTTTAAATGTTTTATTTGTCAATCACGTTTAATCAGCTGGATTGATGGGAACGAATTTTCTTATACTACCTATTTGTCGATTGAAAATTTCTTATACTATCTATGTTCCACTTTATCGCATAGAATAGGAACTTTCGAATAAAACCGCAAGATACAGACTACTTATAGTCTTTTGCAATACAATTAGGTACTATAATTCTAACTTAACCAATAAAATTTAAACTGGATGATTAGATTGAGATTTGTTAATAAGCATGTAACTTTCATCATCATGTAACGACATAAGTGTTTCAACTAATTCCAATTCTAATGTTTCCAATTAATTTATTCTTTTCTCAATATAATATACTATACCAATGTGAAATGCTTTATTGAGTATTTGTACAAAACTATCTTCTTAATTATTATAAAATAAGTAGATCACAAACAACGGAATTGGGTGGTTTATGTTACTTTCAGTGTTACGTTATAGTCTTGAGACTAATGTCTAATGGTTCAATAAACGCAATGTTATATAATCATGCAGTAGTAATTCATATTGTATTGCCCGGCATTATTCATTTTGTAAAGTCTAACGTAACAATTTTGTTGCATTTGGACCTACTTTGGGAACTCCACTAGGACACTGATTTAATAATAAATTCCTAGGTACATTTCATTTATTTTCGTTTAAATTCCATGTAGGTATATCTAATTTACCAATCATACGTAATTAAAAATATTTCGAATACTTTAATGTTTTAATTATTGTTGCATCACAATGAAACATCATATAAATTATACTCTGATTGATGCATTTACCTTAAGTCTTTCAGACATTGCAAATAAAGGCCTATTTACGAATATATCTATTGTAACTATACGTATTTTTAAGGAAAATTTACCTAGAAAAGATGCCAAGATAAATAATATCGATATTTGTAGCGAGTTTTTTTCTAGATCTTTGTAATGTACAAACTGTAATTACAGACAGGCTGTCTCTGCATATCTCTATCTATTACTTAATCTATATAATGCTTTATTGGACACCGAAGCCATATAAAGTTTAATTGAGACATATTACGAATAGTGAAGGCGCCTTTCAAAAATATAAAAGCAAATGAAGAGTGAAGCAATAAACGGCCTTCAATAATAATACCTCACGTCTTCATAGATGTAATAATTAATAACTAAAGATTGTGTCCCACAAAAAAAAAACAGTTTCAAACAAATAATAAAATATTGTACCCGTGTGAATCCGCAGCGGGTCGCCAGTCATTTTAAATTTTCTTATACATATTTTTGTATAAAAATACATAGTAATAAACTAATACACTAAAATTAATACTAAAAATATATATATATACATAATAAACATGATAAACAGAATATGTAAGATATATATATATACATATACTATTATTAAATATATATATATACATATATTATTAAAAAATATAAGCATATTAACTATATGGATAAGGATATGGCAATTATATGACACGGTACTGAGGCATGACATCTTTTTTCTCATCTAACAAAGGAAACAATAAACAAATATATCAACAATACACTAGAATATTACATAAATGTATAAATCAAGCGCAAAAAATTAATAATAATAGGTATCTATATCAATCTAAAAACAAATGTAAAGCTTCCTGGACAATTATACGAAAAAATATTGACACACTATCACTACTGACATTCATAAAATTAAATATAATGGTAAAATTATAAAAATTTGAATGACATTGTAATACTTTTAATAATTATTTTATCGAATAACAAAAAATAATAATAATCACTTTAAAAAAATCATTGCGACTTTAAATTAAATAAGTCAAATTTAGCATATTTTTAATTCTGACAAAAGATGAAATATACATAAGTTTTTAATTTAAATTCAACTGGATACGATAATATTATAAAATACTTTTATGTTTGAAATTCATTGACTTATATTATAAACTTGTCTATGGAAAAAGGCGTATTCTCTGATAGATTAAAAATTTCGATAATAAAACCTATTTATAAAATAAACGATATCGATAAAAACTATAGACCAATTGCTCTCATTTCAGTGAAAAGGTTTTTGAAAAGGTTATGACTAAATAATTTCATTAAAAAACATAATATCATTAAAGACTTTTTTTCAAGAGGGCAAATCCACGACACTGGCATGCTACAATTTAATAAAGATATCTTTAATTTCTACAGTAGCAATACTTGATATGTCAAAAGCGTTCGATTAGTAAAACATGACTTACTAATATTAAAATTAGAAAATTTAGGAATAATCGTGGTTTAAAAATCTTCATAGAATTGACAAATACAATCAATAATTGCTAGTAACACGTTCCCAATTTAAAATTTTTGATTACTACTATTTTCTTGATTTGCAAACATTTTTCTATATATAAATGATCTTCCATTAACGCAAAATGTATGTTTTTTCTGGTCATTGTCTATAGTTTTTGGACACTTTCAAAAATGACATTAAGGATATATTAAATAAAATAATAACATGGTTAACAAAAAATAATTTAAAAATTAATTTACAAAAATAATTCACAAAACTTCGTTTTAAATATAAAACAAAAATTAATATAGAAGTAGTTTTTTTTTTCTACACGTTAGATAAAACAAATGTTGATAATGTTTGTAAAAAAATATAATAAAAAATATTGTTCAAGATGCTTTCATATCATGGACGTTTAAATATGGTTTGATTATTTATATATATATAGAGGGCAAAAAAAATTGTATTAGCAAAAAAAAAAAATTTAAAAAATAAATCCTTTTGTTGTATATATATTGACTTTTTTGTGAATTATTTAATGAATGAATGGACAATATTTCACACAGAAAAAATAACAGTGCATTTCTTGTTTTTTTTTGGCCCAAAAAATATATAATACTTCCTTCAGATCTTTTAGACCGCCTTGAAAATATTTGCGCTTCATCTATGGGGATAAGGTCTTTTACAGGGGAGTGCTACACATCCCAAAAATAGGTAACATAATTATTAATAATATAAATCCTTAAGACTTGACATAAATTTGCTATTGACATAACATGATGAATTCATTTGTATTTAATTAATAATAATAAGTAATTGTTAATTTTATTTGACGATATTGAATATGTAATTTGACTTGATAATTGTTTGAGCATTGTTTTCTTTTTTTTATTATTCTATGATCATAATAATGTACTAGTATAAATTAAATTTGTATCCTTATTTAACGAATAAATTAGATTTGCATCTACAATTTTAAGGCAATTAGACAGATGCCAAAAAGTTGTGTCACATTCTATATTGTCAAATGTCTGTTTCAAATAAAGCATAAATAGATCATGATAAACAGAATATGTAAGATATATATATATATACATATATATATATATATATATATATATATATATATATATATATATATATATATATATATATATATATATATTATTAAAAAATATAACATAAATAAGAAAGGATATGGCAATTATATATATAGACATATATTCATAGGCGACACATTATAATTATGTCCATGGTACTATTCATGCCTATAGGCCACGGTCACTACTTTCCATCAGGTAAAAAAAATCTAGGTAACTTTCCATGTTTTAATTAAAAATCACAATTTAATTAAAAAAAATACACTTAAGCTTAATGATTTTACATGCTGTATTCTCATTAAATATACATAAGTTTTTAATTTAAACTAATCAATTATAAAATTTTATTGAAATTCATTCAGTCACTTTCTCGTGATGACATAATAAACAGACAAAACACTTAAAGAAAAAAGAAGTGACTTATTTGGAATTTGTTACTTTTTTTTAGCTTACCTAGCTAATAAAAAATTTTAATTTCTCGACTTATAATTTCATCCTCTTAAGGCTAATCGTGATTGAAAAATCTTCCCACTTACCAAATTATTTGCTTCGCCGCCATTATTATTTTTTTCATTACTACTATTTTCTTGATTTGCAAACATTTTTCTATGCACTTTTTTAAATTCGTCCATTAACGCATCATGTTGTTTTTTCTGATCATTGTCTATAGTTTTTGGTACGTTAGCCTTCTTCACTATACATGCACTTACTTCGTTTTCCAAAACATTCGAAGAATTTTTTTTATTCTACAAAAACAAATGTAACTGTTAGAAAAAAATATAATATAAAAATATTGTTCAAATGTTTCTAACATTTAAATAATATTATATATATATATATAGGGGAAAAATTGTAAAAAAAAAAACAAAAATAAATTTTGTTGAAATATTGATTTGTGAAATTTTAATGAATGAATGAGGGATATTACAAGTATAACAGTGCATTCTATTTTTTTTTTTGGGCGAAAATGGTATGGTAACTCCGCCTGCGCTAACGGGATACGCTGGCGGTGCACCAGTGCAGGGTGATAGATAAGAATGAAAACAGGCTAGTTAGTCCATCATGATGAATTCATCAGGAATTAACCATGATAGTTTCCAGGGAAAACCGCGAGGAGGTCGACCTGGTTGGGTATATTGCTAGCAATGGGATTCTCAGTCTCCATTACTAACAATTCCTTTCCCCCCAGTGCATTCTATATTGTCTACAGTTCTTTCCATTAGATCATGCCAGCTTGTTTACCTATATATACATACTCGTATACGGATATTAATTTATTTGGATACTTTAAATAGCTCATTATTTGCAATTTTCACAAAATAAGAAAGTGTTTATATAGATATATTTATAAATTAGGATGACATGATTTATTTTGTTGACTAACACTACAGCAGGAAAATGTAAATCAACTTATGAGATCAGACATATTTATTGTTAAAACCATAATATTCTTCTTACAGCATTATCTAATCAATATCAATAATAAATTGCACATCGAATATTAAAAAAATAATATTTCTGGCGTAAAAAACAGCAGAGGAAGACTTTGTAGAAAAGTCGATTGCTTGGGTACCTCTGTCCCATTCGTGTTTCAACCGTAAAGCAGCTGTATCTGCATGGCTGTGTTTTGGTTTGAAGGGTGGGATATGGCATGAATTTACTGGGTACAGAGGAATAACAACTGAGTCCTCAGGGATGGCAACGCGTGGGGGGTATCATGGGCGAAACAGTATACTCTATTATGTCCATGGTACTGCTCATGTCTATAGGCGACTGTTACCACTTTCCCTTAGGTGGGCCGTCACTTTGTTTGCCATTATAAGTAGTATAAAAAAAGATACTTATCGTATGTGTTATTGAATGCAATAAAGGCAATTTACCAATTTTCTTTTCTGTATCTCTTCTGCAATGGCACTTGACAATGTGTTTGAACTTGAAACACTTGAAGAATCTGAAATATCTTTTTTCGGAGGGGATGGATAGTTACAATGGGATTTTCCACATGCTGCTGTACTTGTGTGATGAACCTCGACTACTATAGTCTTTTTTTCATTATCTCTATTCAAATGGCTGCCAGTAAATGTGCCTTTTCTGGGTGACTGGTTGTCGTAACTGCATTGTATAGTCGCACCGTCCTCGGTCAAATTAATAATCGTTCTGTTCGACGGGCTCGTTATGAAATCTTTATTTTTACATCTTATATTCTTATTTTCGTATGTATGAGGATTGTTTGGTATACTAGGACTGTCATAGTCTGGTTCTATATCGGAAGGTGCATCAAAATTGTGAATATCACCATTTTTCCACTCAAAATCTAAACTATCCCATGTTCTTCGTTTTAGTCTATTCATGGTTAATCTGAAAACAATATAAATATTTTGGAAGAAAACTCTTACAGAGTTAAGAGCGTTTATAAATTTTGCTTACTATAATAGATATTAGTATACACAATCTATTGTTTTTAAATAAACAGTCAGAAACATTGAAACTTATTCAATTATTTTTGAAAATTTTTAGATAATTGCGACGTTGCAATACTTTGTTATAAACGCTCTTAATAATAACAATAATTTCTTTATTTCGCGAAATAGTAATTACACAAGCTTATAGCCATATATACCTTAACCATTAAGCTTACTGAAGTTGTGTACGCTTTGGAAAAAGGTTTTTCATTCTTATATTGTGTATATCTACTCGTATATGCCTAATTTATCTATGTAGGACAAAAATGATTTATATAGTAAATGATTTGAACGTTACCTAAATACACCCACAAATTCAATTAGTATGACGCACTATCAACGTTACAAAAAACTCGTATTGGAAGTTATATGCTTATACCGTTTTCAGTAGTTGATCAATAAAGTAATACATAAAATCTCGAAATTAATAAGCATTTAAATCTAAATTTTACTCAATAGACAATTCCCAACAATAATTAATTGTTGTAAACAATATTTATCTAAGTAAATACATACATGCATATATAAATGAGACTTACAATTTAAAGAATTTGTGATGTCGCTGTCGCGTAATATAAGTTTACTAGGGATATACAATTTTCCATAAATAAAAGGCAGCTATAAATGCGTTATTTCATTAACGTATATCGTAGGAACAACGCAATCTTTTATAGAAATGCAAATAGTACACTTGATTCCTCGGTTATGAATAAGGGATGCAGTAAGTGGCGTAGTTTCTGTCCTATATTCTATGATATCAATAAAAAAAATATAAATATCAGACAAACCTATCAGCTCTATCCGCAGCCTCCTCAGCGACACTTGCCAACCGACGCCGCAGGGCTGCTGGTGGCGCCAAAGGAATAACAGGCGCAGGTGGAGCGGGACTACGTTCACCGGCCGCTGATGATGCAGAGCTATTATAACCTGAACTCTCCGGTGACACCAGTTCTGTTCCCGCACCTTCCCGAATTACTAGCTCCAGACGACCTGTAGCTTTCATAGCCGATATTGCCTAAAATTAAAATAATAAGTCAGGCATTCTATATATAAATTAAAAGTTAACTTTAGTGTAACTTTAAAAATAAACACTGAAAATTTTATTATATGAGCAATGATCTACTAAATTAAAATTCAATGTTAAATTTAAGATCTGTAATATCTCGCGGAAAAATTATAAAATCCAAAACATTGGGGATACTGATATTTCTACTAGGCGTGCTAAATTTAAAGTGTGAGATAAATCTATATGGTTGTGGAATTACAAGGTTCTGATATATAACAATTTAATCCTCAGGACATCTCAGCCCATAAAATGTACCATATCAATGTATTTTGTAATAATTTTATTTATTCTTTATTGACCACATTACAAAAAATATCTGGCATAAAAGACGTACTTAATACCATATAGCATTTTTCTCAGTTAACTTATGGCAAAACAGAAATGTAATTATGCGGTGAAAATTGGAAAATTGTTATAGATAAACATTTACACGTACGTATCCATATTGACTTACAAATCATAACACATACAATGAAGAACTACTGCATGATAATATAATCATAATTATAATTGCAGCATAATTCTGTCAGTTATAAATATTTAATAGTTTATGAAAATTAATCCGCTTCGTATTAAAAAAAAAATCCCCCATTAATAAATATGGTCGAGGCATACATATTAACAACTTTTCTTGATTGAAAGAAATTCTGGCTACGTCTGTTATGTAATTCTAACGCAATGTTTGGTAATTTTATAAAATAAATAACAATAACAATAGTATAATTAAGCACACATATTCAGAAAAGTACAAACCTCATTAAATGATATATTCGCAAAATCTTGTCCATTACATGATATTATCTGATCACCAGGACGCAAACCCGCCTCGCGTGCAATGCCGCCTTCACGAACAAATTGAACAAAGATGCCCGGTTTCCATTCAGGACCTTTGCAAATTCTGCAAAAGATTTTATAAATTAGAACTCTGAATTTAAAAAGATTAGTCAGAACTTTAAATTTCTATAAAACTATGACGGTGGTTCAAACTTGATAGATATATTTATTATGTGAGTTTCAAAATATATAATATATATTCTATTGCGAACTTCAAAAGTAATCATCGGACTCCTAGATAATAAAACCTCTAACAAAGCGATAAAATCTTATAATCTTAAAGGATTATCTTGTATTTTTGAAGGACCGTTAGGGAATTTTATCCGCGACTTCCACGGACTTGTGTATTTACTCTCAAATCAATATCGATGCGTTCTACTCAGTTGAATAAAAATGAATATCAAGCACTCAAAAACACCGGCGATTAAATTTCGAAATATGATTCAATATGGGATTGAGAGGCTTTACTTTCTTAGTCATATTTAACTTACCCACATCCTAGCTTCGACCTTGGTGGTACCAAGATAGACAAGCGTAAGTCTGTAAGTCTTGCGGTGTCATGACATAGAGTCGGTGATGAAGAAACATCCGACGCCAGTGATGCTCGTTCTGATACAAATTGCCAAGACAGGGCCTCGTGAGCTTTCCTGGATGAAACGTAAAATATGATTAATGATACGTTATGTGAAAAAGTCTATATTTTTTATTTAGATGTAGCAAGTATTAATGAAATTGCACAACTTTTTGCGAGAAATATTACTTGGATCGCTTCATACTAAACTGATAACATTTTCACGCGACAAACGGTTGTATAGTTTTAAAAATATTATTACTGGTTTTCAAATTGTTTTATGTTTATTACTGTAACAACATACATAATATAGTAAGAACAGGGTATCCTTTTTAAGTTTTCTGACAATGCATCGAATTTGTGACTTTAATAAATTTTGGTTCAATAAATGTCTGTTCCTTTGCAAAAAAAAAAAAAACTATTATAAAGTTAGCAATTAAAGGCATCCTATGTTTTTATTAGACACTAGCGGCCCGTCCCGGCTTCGCACGGGTGGACATTTTTACAACATTTTACACTTTTCAACATAATATTTTTCCGGATGGAATATACCTACGATTTGAAAAATACAAAAAGTAATCTGCGGATATTTAAACAATTTTGAATACAAAATGATTTATTTGGATAAGGGTTAATAAATAGGTATGAATAACATGTACAACGCGACAGCGTTATTTTTTCTATTTCTATGACTTATTAAATTATATATGACGTAATATATATTAAATGGAACAGCCGATTTGAACAATTCAAAAATTAATCTACATAAATTGATTTATTTGGATAAAGATTTAAACAGAAGTATGAATAACATGGTGTAATTTTGGTCTGTACTTCTATCAAGTTTTAAAATGTAAACAGTGGTTATTGTGACATAACGATAATAGTAGGACATATAGTATCGCGAAGTTTTTTGTAGTTATTAATATTTTCTTTAACATTGTGGAACATACTTTTGTTCTATCATCAATAGTTTACACAGCCCACGCGACGAAAGATATTTTATAGCAGTTTTTTACACGTTGAGTTACGTTACTAAAGTTTTAGTAAGGATCCCTAATCTTTTCTAGCAATAATAGCCTATGTTACTCATGGTGAATGTAGCTTTCTAATGGTAAAAGAATTTTTTAAATTGGCAAAGTAGTTTTTAGTTTATTCATTACAAACATACACACAAAAATACAAATCTTTCCTCATTATAATATTAGTGTAGATAACGGCATAGTGCGCGTGCACAAATAACTATTCTGTTATGCCATGTTTAAAATGCACAATTTAGTTTATTATAAATTATATAATATGTAAATGAAATTAATAAAATTAATCAAGTGAAACTTATTATTTAGGTAAATAAATTAATAAACATATAATTATGTAAATTTTTGTGGAGATTGGTTGTTACTGATCGAAAAACTAGGTAATGCGGAAAGTATGATTTACTTCCTCTTCGTCCAAAATAATCTCATAATACAATCATCACACAGCTCTTTAAAATAGAAACTTCTTTCAATAACATAATTCTAAATACTTCAGAAAAAATTTCATTAGATCTAAACAATGGTTTTATTAAAAAAAATATATGTTCCTCTTAAGAGTAGGTTATTTCTACAAAGGTTTAACGCTTTTTCCAATTTGCGAAGATACAATAAACTACAAATACCTAATTTTTTAAAAGAGTGATAATAAAAGCTAGCGTGTCATTTTATACAAAATCGAAAAGACCCCACATAAAAAAGTTATTTCAAAAGTTTAAAAATTTTATAAAAACAATGGAAACTTACTCTTTAACTGGAACCATTCCGACATCTGAAACGAAAAAAAATTTAATATTTATATTATTTTGTACTTAGATACTTACTCACCTTTACTAATATTATAAATGTGAAAATAAGAGTCTCTTTTGTTTCTTAATACCTTAACGGCTTAATTCATCACTATGAAAATTAGTATACACACAGTATATAGGATAGGTGTAGGCAAAAGGTATAGGCTACTTTTATCTCAATCAGTGATATGTTATTTTATCAGTCTTGGTCACACAAATGAAGACATGTGTAAAAGCTAGTATTTAATAATTATTTAGGTTATCAAAGGATTATCATTCCAGTAATATTTTCATGCAATGTAGAATAGCAAATAAGCTAAAGGCATACCTTGTGGAAAAAGATAATCAGAGAGAGACTTTGTACTAAATAATTTGAATATACTTTGTTGTAATTAAATACTGAACAGTATGAACTCCTTTTTTTGGAAATTTAACTGTATTAGAAAGAGTACTCATTTGTGGTACCTCATATAGTTATACAGCTTAAATATGCACTTTCACGGTTATCGTGAGCAGTAGTAAAATCGGTCTCGACAATAACACTGCTTTAATAATGGCGTAACTTCGGTGACTTTTGATTAATTAGCATAATGACATTCGTTGCCACATTGTTGCAGAGAGAGAAACACCTACGTAAGAATGAGAGTTAGCAAAGTAAGTATTATGTAATTGTGCTTCTCGTTATTCTATTGAATTGACACATAATTTAAAACAACTAGGTAGATAATGCTTCTCAGAGAAACCATTTATTATACCAAAACTTTAATATTACGATGAAAAATGTAATCATTATTCCAAACATCACCAAAGCCTAATTGCGGTTGCTAACCCGCCGGCCAATCATGGCAATTACTGGCAAACTCCCCAATAGAGGGAGGCCTATGTTTAGCAGTGGAAACGGCTGATATGGATGAGGATGGATGAATGTATTTGGCAAATGAACTCATTACAGGAAGCTAGCTTGCTGTGATAATAATTATAATATACATTAAAAACATTTTTGTTTTGAATTATCAGAATTTGAATTTGTAAGTTAAGTAATTTACGATTTTGTTCCACAGGTATACATTAATCTTACCAAAATTCACAAATAAAGATTTCACTAATTTCACTCATAGCAAAATATATGCAGTTCAGACCAAATATATGCCCCAACTATACATATATTTGCCGTTAATAAGTTCTAAAAGCTTACAGGTATTGAATAAAACTTTTTTAGATAATTTCAATTAAGATTTCCTACATGAAATTGATTGTAGTTATTATCGTCACAATAATAATAGGAAAATAAATTGTAATTGTAAAAAATCTAGCTATAAGGTTAGGCTGTCATTGTCGACAATCTAATAAGCAAAAACTCTGTTGAAGTCTGTTGATAAAAATATAATTATTTTAATTTGAAAATTGTACTATTGATATGATTGATATATTTTTAATTTTCTGCGTTTTATATCTACTCTATGTACTTTTTTTACCCGTAGAACTCAAATATCAGTACTAGTAGTTAAATATGTTATAAATTATATATATGATACTGTAAATGTGTGATAAATGTACAAAAAAATAAATAATATAGATATTATTAATATATAGATAAAAATTTTATCACGGTACCGCTCGTCAACGTAAAGTAATTTATTCTCACACCTAGAACCTAAATAGTCGGTTTCAGGGAAGTTTTCTCCCGAGAACATTGCACAACCCGAGAACTCTCCGGTTGTGCAATGAACTTTCTGCAAACGGGATATACGTTTGTTAGCTACCATAGGAATATAAAAAATACAATACAAATAACGTTTAATGTTTACTTACTAATGCTTTCACATCACGTATAAAAAGATAAAATAAACAACGGTATATATAAGTTTAGTAATACTTACGTCTAACTTTGATCTTGAGGCGAGATTGAGATGCGAGATAATGAACTAGCTCGGCGTGTACCGCGTCGTCCACACGGTATCCGTTCACGCTCACCAGCTGGTCACCGACCTGCAAATTATAATTATAACGAATTCTTAAAATGATAAAATTATTACGAAACTCATTTTAGCGTTATTAGGTACTTCCATTTTGCAGCTGCGCGGTATTCAATTATTTAGAACATCAGATCAAATCCCTTGATGATAAGACATGACAATATCTTATTCTTAAAGAAATAAAGTATCTTTCGAGAGTAAAAAATAGCTACTACAGTCGTCCTTAGAAGTGACAAAGTAAATCTTTTAACAATTTTTTTCATCAAATCAGCCCTTATCTGTTCATTGCAAAACATAGGCCTCTCCCATAGACTGCCTTAAAAAACGATCCTGAGCTAATTACATCCATTAACTTCCTGCAATGCATTTGAGGCCGTCAATTCCCCTAGTGCAGGGTTTTTGTTTAATGGATGATAAGTAAATGGTAACCCTACTTGCGCTATTGGTATAAACTGGCGGGGCACCTGTGAGAGTTTATAGGTGGGATTAAAGAGCAGGTCAGTTAGCCTACCGTGACGAATCTAACAATAAATCAATCACGATGGTTTCCAGGAAGAACCACGAGGAGGTCGACATGACAGAATATATTGCTAGCAATGGAGCTACTAATCCTCATTATTAACAATCCTTTCTCCCCCCCCCCCCCCCCCTAGAGCCTAACAGATACTACTAGGCTCGTGCTTGCGTTACAAAATAAATTTAATAATTGATTGGATTATAAGACAGCCTGCTAGTGTTCAACAGTAGTAGATACAAATCAATTAATGATTGTTTCTACAATAATTTCAACAAAACGATGACTTCCTCAAATAAAAGAATACTTTTTATCCCTGTAATATATCTCGATCATTCGGACAAAGTCGCGAGAGAAGCTGTTATTATGTAATCAAGATATTATAGTAAAAAGCGGTACCTATTTGTAATCCTTTTCAGGATTACAAATAGGTACCGCTTTCACTTTTTTAGTAAAATTTTATTTGAAAATTGTCTTTAATCACGCAAACATAATAATGGGTTTATTATTATTATATATAGTTACAGATACTCTGCACACAATTTTACGTGATAGTAGCTTGCAAAGTTACGGTTCTTTATAATAAATATTATCAAAATGCTAATTAAACTATTTTAACTCTGTTCTCCGTGTGGTGATAGAGGAAGAATAAAATGTGTTGCCACTCTTTTTCATGTCCAGAATTTCGCAACAAGCTACTAGCAATTATAAGAGAGATAGATACATTTCGATAATATTTCTTTACCGTTCTTATACTATCGCGTGGTTTATTTAAAAACTTCAATTATATGATTTCGACCTTATAAGAAGACAATGTTATGAATGATATTTTGGCTTGGTATACTTATTACAACTGACCCTGTGTAGGACTATTAGGTATTCTATAATACAATTTAAATATCAATATAATTCTTGCTTAGTTGATATATCAAAATAGTAATCATTTGTAAATGGAAGTTCCATCACTATTACGCCACAATAGCACATATCTCCCTCCCTCGACTCTGGCGCAATAGCTCACCACAAATATCATAAGGCCTTTTGGTACATGGGAGTTATTATTCTTTGTGTGCATCTTTCATAGTAGCCCATTTGTTATCTATAAGGTTATCGTTAATCGCAATTGTTCAGTTTTAATAAAGACCATTATATACTAAGTTCCTGGCATAACAAGTAGATATGTAAATTTAAAAGTGAGTTACGCTTGACTACTCATAGAACTTATAAGTATTTACTTATAATCTTTAAAATATAACATGTTCGGCTAAATATTAAAATAAATGAACTATGTGAATTGTCATGTTAAGAGCATTTTAACGCTAGACTGTTTATCGACTATATTTTATATTCTATCCTAAATATGTAAATAAGTTCAATGTTTTCTCTTTTTCTTTACAATGTCAACATAAGTTACGTGGTATGCTACACCTAATTTAAATGATTACATAATCTTCTTTTTTTTTTTATAAATATAAATAATTTATCAAACAATAAAAGACTACTAGCTTCGACAAAAACTAAAGTATAAAGCATATTTCTCAGCACGACAATATGCTTTATTTTGTTTAATTTAGAATAAATAAAAAAAATAACTAATTCTCTATATTTTCTAAATAGATACTTATGGGTATATTATGGTCCTATTACGAGTAAAATGTGTTAGAAACCCTGGCCTACTTTCGTCAGTTGTCCGCTACCAACAATTTGAGGTTTACGTTAAAGGACCACTACCCACAAATGCAATTAAGTAATGTTCTTTCTATAGATCTCTCTGTTTCACTCCAATAATCACGATTTACGAAACAGTACTTGAAATTTATGGTGATCAACTCAACGTAACTGTATAAATAGCATAGATATAATACCATAACCATAATTAAACAAATGAGTTATAGCAATGACATCATGTTGACGTATATATACATCATGTATGTGCCTAATGAAGTGACGACATCAGTTACTTTCTTTACGTTTGTTTCGGTACCACTGGCCGCTGCGGGCTACAGAAAAGCCGGACAGGTCGCGTTGCCTCGTGCCCCACATACCTAGCGTAGCAACTTTCGATCAGACTTTCGATCCAAGTCGTCTTTTTGCGAATACCAGTGGAGAACGCCAGACTCCAAGACGCCCAGCCGGGCCCTCCGAAACATTCACTTTCCAAATATATATTCATCCAAGTTTGGTTGGTTCAAAATAATTAACTTAAAATTCTATATATTTATAACAAATATGGTCTATTTACTCTAAAATTTCATTGAGATCCATTTTAAAAATATTGTTTTGTTAAAAAATATGAGATCCGTTTTATCATTTGGGGTTGATTGAGTAACAATAATCCTAACATTAACACATAGTCTAACATTTATAATATTACATAATAAGATTTTTTTTTGTCAATCGTGATAATATAATTAAATAGATATTATATAATATTATATGATATATCAGTAATTATTATTGTTTTGAAATTAACATTATATGTAATCACAGTTACAGTAGAAAGGATGCTATATTTGGAAATATAATACCTTAAATTCAATGAGAACAAAAGATCCAGTAATATGAAACAACAACAACGTTTATCATACAATTTAATTATTCACAGTATATGAAGTAATTGACTAATAAGATTTCGCCCCGTATTACAAATAACAAAATCAAAAACGGGATTTTTTCGGGATTGCAAAAAAAAAATTTTAAAATTTATTTAATAGTCGTTACGCAAAAGGCTCAACATAGGAAGAAAGTATCAAATTGCAAAAATTGCAATTAGTATAAATAAAATTAAAATTGATGTAGATACACACAAATATAAATATTGGCATTATAATGACTCATTTAAAAAAATTCAGTTTTCTGGAAAAAAATAAAAAAGTTTCAAAGAAAAAAAGTAAAAAACATTCTCTGTGTGTATTTCTTTTTTTTTTAAACCCCTAGAAAATCCTAGAATAGCATCTACCCCCTTTAATGAGAATGCACTCTTACAGCCATTATCATCATGTTAAACCATAATGGCAAAAATCATGAACACATTATCTCCAAGAGATAACGAGAGTAAAGGATTATTGCAGTTAAATATCAACCACGTGGTAGCTGTACAATATGGTAATATTGTAACGACAATAGATAGACAACTAAATCCATGATCACAATCCGCATTATTTCCGGTTATAAGCAACATGTTGATAATGAGGTTGATCACCTCGAGAACTATCACGTCACTTCAGGTTTTGTGTAGCAAAACTAGTAGTTTATAAACATGGATCTAATACAATAGATCATGAAAATAATTATATATAAAAACTTACCATAATAATCACTGATATCGTTACGTCACGTCCAATCTGTTATTGTAAATAAGCCTATTCCAGTATAATATTTTTAAAGGGAGTGTAAATTTAGTTCCATTAATTTTCCTATTTAACCACCAGTTGCGCTAAATACTCTTTGGAAACTTAATATATCTGTAACGTCTATAACATTTACATTTAATTTGCGCGCTGTAGCACGGTGCGGATGACTGCTGACATTTGGATAATTTTTATTGAATGAAATTTTTGAAGCTAAAGTCAATCTAATCATAATTGATACTTTTTCATGATTAATCGTTTGTTGAATCTGTAAATTGCGTTCTAGTATTTTTTCTATCACTTCAATGACCCGTCATCCGCACCATGTTAAAACGCGTAGAGTATAATTATTATTGAATTTATTATTAATAAAGGTATAGTGTTTTCATAAAACCTTTATTCTACAACAGCTGAGCATACCCAGAGCCGCACGTAATGTATTTATTTTAGAATGACTCACCAATACTGTATTGCATTGTTCTTTTTATAGTTATGTAAAGACTGCAGTAACTCGTCTGAGAGACACACAAATATATTTTTTTACAAATGGGGAATTTTTCAAGGAATATTCAAAAATATTTATTGTATGTAGAGTAAATACAATACAATAATAAAAATTTCGAGTTTCTTATTGCCAAACAACTTGCAAACCTTAGAAAACAGACTGATTAACCTATAATAATTGAACCTATAATAATCTAAGCAAGCGCAATTATCAATTTAAAGTGCTTGCTTGTAATCTTTGCAGCGACTACGTCTTAATCGAATGCTGTACCGTGTTTTATATATCTGAGTCCCTAACTATGTGTACTACTTATATTTCATTAGCCATTGTATCGAAATCCAATAAGACAGTTCGTTTCAAGTGTTTCTTTGTAGCGTTTGTAATTATTTCGAAGAGTGCTGTAAAGTCCTGGTTGTCCTCCACAGCGCTTTTAAACATATTTTTCAGCTATAGTTTGTAGCTCTTTTTAAACATATAGGTAATCTTTATCTAGCTTTAATAGTATAGTTAGACCTATTTTTCATCACCGTCTTAGTCTTCTCGCTGAAATGCAGCTCTCATAAAGCGATAGTTATTATCGGTGTAAGAGATTATGAAATCTGCAATTAATCATTACCGTTTCTATCCATCTATACAAAACCAGATTTCTCTTTACAGATTTTGATCAATCTTTTTTTTGTGGATCCTTTTCAAAAATATGTTTATAGCCTAAAGATGCATGTGTTCAAGAAAATTTTTCAGATTCCGTTTTCAACGATTTCGATTTTTCTGTTCATGTATATATGTATATATCGTTGTTTCATCTCTGAATTTAAAGTCATACATAAATGTATAAAAAGTCGTGAAATAGCAAAGAATATCAGCATACGGTTTCACTATTTATGTATAAAACTTTTTCCTAAATATACTAAAGGGTCAAGGATGTATTTATTTCATGATCCGTTAATAAGCATATCATTACTATAAGTAATAAAATATTACTTACTATTTCTTAAAAACTATTCAAAAATATATGTATATAATTTTTAAAAACACATCAGTATAAATCAGTGATTTAAACATTTAAGGCATCGTATTAGTTGCTACATGAAGAGCTGCTACTTAGGTAAGTAAGTATTTATGGGATACGGATTTGAGGTGACGTTAATATGAAAAATTTTTTTAATTATCAAACAAGTATATTATTATAAAAATCTAAAGAAAAACTTCTGTGTAGAATTTTTTTTATATTTAACATACTTAACACTGAATTGATTTATTGCAGATCTTTTACAAGTCGCTGGGTTTTTCAAATATGTGCCTATTTCATTTTAATTCAATTGAAAATAAAATAAAATTATAGTAAATACTTTTCCTGGACAATTTCAAAGCAGAATATGTGGCTACTGTGAATAAGTTTAGTACGTACAACCAAGCAGGCGACGATAACAAAAAAGGAAAACATAAAAACGTTTCTATTTTATCAAATGTTACACAAGACGCAATAACTCAAACAAACGCACGTGAGCGGAGAGCTGTAGAAAGTCATCAATCGGCCAGCGATGTTGTGACTCACGCAGCGGACATATAAATGTTCGGCATGTAAACATACGATGTTCTTAAATTGTTGTAATTATATTTATAATTACAAAACTCGTACTGTTGCAATATCTTGGGAATACAAGATAATTATACGTTTAGAACATATAAGTGCATATATTTAAAACTAATTTATCTCATAATTATATAGATACTACACCTAGTTACCTACCTGTAGATTAAAATTTCACTTCCTATATCTATTTACAATATACTCATAGTGAAAAGACGAATACCGACTTGTTGTTACGGTTTTAAATCTTAGTAAGTTTTTTATGTTTTTGCGATTTATCGTTCAAGCCGATCAATGGTCGCTGGCACCTGTCGAAATCACGACAAACAATGAAGTCCGGTCTCCGTAACTGGCATACTTGCTTCGACGACTTTTGCTGACTCAGTGAGTTAATGTTTCTAAGAATTGCTTGTATCCGCTAAGTCGTTGACATTATATACAGTTTTAAAGTTTACAGTTTTTAAATTTCCCAAGATTCACTACAATAGTCTCAAATCTCTATTGTACAGTTTAAATAACGACGGATAGGTATGAACGAGAATTTTCGTAACTTCTTTGTTAAGGAAGTAATTGTGCGAAAATCTGTATTTTAAGATTACATTACTCACCTTGTACCCACGTGTGATTCTATCTTACTGTCCAATTATATTACAAACCTATATAAAAGTATAAGTATGTAAAAAATATTTAAGAAGAGCAATAAAATCTAAATAAAATAATTTTTAGAAATTTTATTTGTCCATCTGTACATATGTTTGTTCCGACATCACGCTTAAACTAGTACACCATAATACATATTACAATTTATATTTACACTTTTAATGTTTTGTATAAACATAAGAACTTTCTTTCACAAAGAAAGTAAAGTATTATTAAAAGATGAATATTCTACACTGCAGTATTACGGATATATTAAAATAGTTAACTGTAGTAATATAATTCTCAAATTTTAGAATATTTCGATACTTATTCAACTACGCGGAGTTGATAATTCGTAACTAATAGCACGTAACAGGTAATAAAAGTATTTGACCTAGATGATTTAAGCAATAATGTGATCGACATCAGCGGTACTTGGATAAGATTGAAATTAAAGCAAAGGAAACCATACAGTTACGTAAGTCGCTTAACACATCTTGCGACAATCTGCAGTCTCGGATGTACTTAGACGATTGTATTGAAGCAACAAGCAGGCCAGTAAGTTAATTGTTACTTGAGAAAAAAACATAGAAATAAATTGTTCGCGCGCGCCCAATTACCAGGTAAGTTGTCGATGTGAGAAAAGACGCAACGTAATGTTAATTATAAAGATACCTATGCGAACAACAGCTTCCTTCTACTGACAAAAAGGACTTTGGTATGTGTAATGACACAAAAATAAACAAAACAATGAAATAATGCTACTTATCCAATGAGAGTGTAAAAAGAACAATTCATACAACAATATTAAGCAGACATGTTTTTTAGCTGTGCACATAAACGATGAATGTCTCAGCAGTCATTGTCTCAGATTTCGTATTTCGTAACTAAATAAGTATACATAGCTACTGTACTCGAACAATCCTCAAAGTACCCAATGACTTAATAAGACCGAAATTATAATAAAATACTTTATTTAATTATTTATCTAATTACATTTTTGGTAATTAAAAAGAAATTATGAAACGATATTAATCCTTTTTAATCAAAATTAATAACTGTGATAAATAAAAGCTGGAAAAAGTTTTTATTAGAGTTATTCGAATTTCAGTTATCTTTTCTATAGCTTTATTTTTAGTCAATAAATATACTATATATACTGCTAACAAGATAAAGCGAATAAGCTTCACTTACAAAAAATCAATTGCGTTTTATAATGTATATTTATGAGTGACAATATATGTATTATCACGTAATTTAAAAAATCAGTTCCGGATATTTCAAATAACTATTTAAAATTGATCTTATATTTACTAAGTAAAAATGTTAATAACGCAACTCTACCACTACAAAGTTCTAATCAGGTAAATACGAGTATTGAATATGTATATTACTTTCAGAAGTTCATTGAGAAACAGTGAAAGTCATTTATTGTTTTGGAGTATAGATGCTGCCAGACTTTAAACATGAATGCTCTAAAACTAAGCATATATGAAATTGTATATCCTCCAATTGAATTCCGTATTTAAATTCTTTTTTAGCATAAATAAAATAATTATTTTCTGTGATGTTTGTAAGGCGTTGAACTCCATTTTAGTCAGTGAGACTAAATCTAACTGGTATTATTGATTAAAGATTTCAAAAGGTTTTGTAATATCCATTAAGTACTTATTGTTTCTCTCTGTTTTGTATGCAAAGAGCAATTATCTGCTGTTCCAATAGAAATTTTAAGAAAATCTATTTTAATGAATACGATGCGTGTGAAATAACGAAATCTTTATACAAAATACCCCCCTGGAATTTAGATTAACTTGATGTATATATCAATATAATATCTCTTTATAGATATAATTAGATTGAATCTCTAATCTATCTAAATAATTCTAATAAAATATGTTACTGGTCCTTCGTTCCACTACAATCCATAATATTTAAACAGTGGTGAACTATTAAATATGAGATTTGATTTTCTATTAGTTATTAGTTTTAAATTATGTATATTTCTTTTGTTATTGCATTGTCCATATTACATGTGTTTCCATCTGTTTGTATAATTTGGTAATTATATATGCGCTGTTTATCCTGAATATATCATAATCAGTTTTGTAGGTATGGTTCAATCAATAAATAGTACTTACAGATAATTATTTACCTAGTATAATTATTATATAGTTACTAGGTAGTAAATGTAATATACGAGGTTTGTCCGGAAAGTACGTATAAAAGTTTTTTAAAAATTTTATTTTACAATTATTCAGGTAAATCAATTTTATCCCCTTCAAAGTACTCCCCCTGTGACATAATGCACTTGTGCCAACGCCGTTTCCACTGTGAGAAGGCTCCTTGAAAGTCCTCTGGTTGTAGGTTTCTCAGCTGCCCCGTCGTAGCTTTTTTTATCTCATTTATGTCCCCCAAATGCCGCCCCCGAAGTACCAATTTGGTTTTTGGGAACAAGAAGAAGTCACACGGGGCCAAATCCGGCGAATAGGGGGGGTGTTCGGTCACCGTAATGGAATTTTTACTCAAAAACTCACGGACAACAAGAGAGGTGTGGGCAGGGGCATTGTCGTGGTGAAGAATCCAACGCCCCTCTCGCGCCAATTCTGGACGAACTCGTGCCACACGAGCTTTGAGGCGTCTGAGCACATCGACGTAGAATTTTCCATCAACTGTCTGGCCTGGAGGGACGAATTCTTGATGGACAATCCCCGAACATCGAAAAAAACAATCAACATTGTCTTGACATTTGAGCGGGATTTTCTTGATTTTTTTGTTCGTGGTTCCCCGGATGTCTTATCGAATTAGATCGGCAAAAATTTCACGGCCATTCTTGCTGAGTTTCGAGAGAAACTTGATTACGACGCGCTGCTCTTCAACGGAAGCGGGCTCCATGCCGACGGGGTTTCGTTAAGAGGTAACTTCACAGATGGCGTGACAAGCCAGTTCGCACCGCACGGCGGTCAGACCAAAACTGAAGCATTGTTAGGGACATAAGGAAGGGGTCCTGCGCTTACCTGGCCTCCCCACTCCTCTTTCTCGCATTCCAGAACACTTTTATACGAACTTTCCGGACAGACCTCGTATGTAACTAAGTATCTTGATTAAAAAAATAAAATATTAATAACGAACCTTCAATCCTTGTAAATGTGCTTCTGAATTGAATTCAATTTTCGAAACGAAGAAACCCGTGGCGTATTCTCTTCCTCCTCGCAGCGAGAAGCCAAAGGCCGGTGCAGCTCTGCGCGGGCGCAATAACCGCACAACACGTACGCGACGCTCTGCTGCCGGCACGCATGCGGCGCGCCCAGAGCCCGACGTCGTAGACGCCGTCGACGTTGCGTACATCGCAACGCTGAAATAAAATTACGATCAAAATAAAATAATTGCAACCTACTGAATATTAATTATTATTGATATTTTTAAATCACAGTGTAAATATATGTAATACCTATTTAATACTTTACGTAAAGTTTTTTATAATAACATTTTTAACTTTATATTTTTAAAGGTTTCGTATATATGTATAATATGTAGTAGACATTATATTAAGAAAATGTTTTTAAATACACGTAAGCTATCCGTTACTAATATTTTTAATCCTAATATAATCATCATACCTATTAAGTGCTTTATATAAAGTTAACAGTATCATTTATCACTTTGTTTTTTTATAACATTATGCAAGATACACTCTTTGAAGAGAAAGGCAATAAGCGTTAAAATAATGACAATATTATTTAAAAAAAAATATTAATTTATATTAACAGCTCATATAATTAATTCAATTCAATATTATTTAAAAACACACGAAAATTTATTCATTTAGGTTAATAGCTCACAGCTGTTATATACACATCATCATTTCAGCCATTATTCGCCCACTGCCGGACATAAGCCTCCCCCATAGATTACCACAAAGAACGATCCCAAGTCACCTGCATCCACTGACTTCCTGCAATGCATTTCAGGTCGTCACTCCATCTAGTAGGTGGTATATATACATATAACAAATATATATTATTCCCGCGGGAACTTTGAAAAAATCTCTTGTTAGTACTCACTTAGTTGCATAAGGTGCATAATCTCATATAACTAAATTAAGCAATTTTTGTTGTTTGCATTTACACATGCTGGATGCAATTATCTAAGATTAAAGACAAAAGTCATAACTTATAGAAGCTTGGACTTTATTGCGTAATATAATCTGGATGAGAATATTCATAAGGAAATCAGAGTAAACGTGAAGGATACGCAACTTGAAGTTGGGAAGCCAAATAACTCGAAGAATAGAAAATTTATACAAGTAAGTAAAGGCAGTGTGAGGTAAATCTATATGGAGCAATGACCTTAAATATATTGCAGAAATTCGGTCAGTACATTCAGATAGAAGTAAAACATAACAGCAACGGCCAGCATCTTGTTATTTTGTTCCTTTTTATTGTTAGCCCAAACAACAACTTTAAATATTTATGCCTAGTTTTAGCCTATGGTTTCACTCACATGTGGTATTCAGTTTCTCGCGGGAATTATTTTTCTGTTTCAACCTTATAAATTACAGCTGTTGCCCGCGACATTTTCATGTATGATTCATCCTTTCTAAATTAAAAATAAAGACTCGTAATTTCAGATTTCTATGCGAAGTTTCATTCTCTACTCAGTGGATAAATTCTGTGGTAAATTTTTATAAATCTAGGTACGCGTATTTTGTTTAAAAAATAACAGATTTACATAGAAATTTCATCTAAATCAGATTATATCTCATCTGACTCCCTTAAAAGTAGAATTTGTTTTAAACTATGACATTATCAATAATGTTGAAGAAGGACATTACTTTTTAAGGCTACTTTCATTCCAGTCAGTGAATATATATCGGTCATGCGGGCCAAGTTGCGAGTAAAAGCTAGTAAGGCATATTTTAAATTCAAGTAGTAGCATGATAATGTTTTATTCAACTCACAATTCAGGTAAGGTGCGACAATAACAAACGATCTCTGCAAGAATTCCCCTTGACATTAACACATCAAATCGTGTCAGCTCAACTAAGGTCACATGATGGTTGTTACAAACTACAAACGCAAATACTTAGATTATCTTTTAAGAATGCTTTAAAAATTGTATTGATTTAAATTTACGAGTGTTGTTGTACTAGATAAATATGTTATACTAAGTCTATGGTTTAACCACTATTTGACAACTGTAGATTTATTCGTCGGATTTGTCACTATACAATATGCAGATGTTTATCACCAGTTGTCACCAATAAATTTCCATTTACATCTGTAGCGATTTTATTATTATGAAATTATTTTATTAATCATATTCAACCTACTTTATAAGCAATTTCCTGAAGGAGACTTCCAATCCAATTCATCAAATTTCATGATATATTATTATGTATGTATTATGCAATATTTTGAACAGTTTCGCACCGATTTTAGTATAGTTCTTTTTCTGCAATCAAAAGAATTTACTTTAATATTGGTTCCATTTTTTTCAAAATTATAATAATAACTTTTTGCGAAACAAAATGTACATTGATTTCGTATTCTAAAATGTATTTAAATTTAGAATCAAATTTATCTGTTTGTCCTCGTACATGTAATTAAAATTAATTCCGTACATAGTAGTAGTATAGTTTTTATTGAATAATAGTTACTATAGAATTGTTAAGATACGTTAGTTACAGAAAGAGAGGTTCTATATTATAGTATATCTCTTTCTGTAACTGATAGGTTCAAAGTCGTTTTTAGAGTTTTTAAAAACGATTTATAACAATCCCAAAATATTTGATTTATAGTAGTTCTTATGAGCAACAACCTTCATTTTGTAATTGCAAAACAGATACTTGTGCATAGTGGTACTTTTCTGTTCATGCTTTTATAATATTCGGGATATTTTTCTCAGCAAGAACTAACATTATCGAATTGAATCTTAGAACAGTTGCAGGCCTTGCTTTCCTACGTCTACCTATAAATATGTAAAAACGTAATAAGAAGACGAAAGATAAAACAAAAATGCCTGTATCTTTATTTTATCTAAGTGTTGTGCGTTTACCAAATTACATGACCATGTCAAATAGGTAACAAAGAAACAAACTTATTTTTAAGTTTGTTAAGTGATAAAATTAATAAGAAAAAAGATTTTATTAATGTATATTTATTAAATTTACTTTTGAAATAGAATTTATAAATTTCGATAAAATATAATACAACATATGTAAATATATATAATATCTAAAACAGAATATGATACGTGACTCCAACCCGCATTTAATTGGTTTTTATATCTACAATCTTGTTGTTAATTAAATTACACGTTAGAGCATAAATCTATAAACCGCATCGTCAAATGAACACGGTCATCAGACATGTTTATTTACTTGTATGCTGTGCGGTTTAATTTCTTCGCAATGCAAAAGATACGAGGTCGTTAAGGTGGCGGCGGGCCGAGGGACGAGGGCTAGAGTGCAGCCTCCTCGAGCCGATGGTGCAACGACCCCTGTGCGCCTGCGCAGCTTCGCAACTACAACAGCTAAACCTTATATTATTGAAGTCTTTGACACTCTTACATCGTTGAAGCCAGATATTCAAAGTACAAAGAGTGTAACACATAACTATAGAATTTGCAAAGATAAATATTGCATATTTATCTTTGCGAATTTTGAAGCGATATTATAATTCTTTTTGCATTCAATAAGGTGTACTCTCTTGTTATTCTCGTGTAATCCTCTTAGAATTAAAGGTGACTATAAGTGCTTTTTTATGCATTAAAATAAGAATAATGACATTACTAATCAATATTATAAGGCAAACGAGTTAACGATCTACGTTAGGGGAAATACACGTACGTCGTACGTAAACACTTACACAAGAGAGGTTGTTTCTAGGGTAATAATAACGATTTCTTTTTTTCTTATTACCATTCTTAGAAACATAGAGTTTTATGGAAGAAAATATATACCCATTTAGTGTAGTAAGTTCCAAGTCATTTCAGCCGTAATTCAGATTCAACCTCTTTTAAATTTATCGCTTCCCAGTAATATTAAAGCGGCCGAATCTTCTTTAGTCATCTGCATGTCGGATATATATATATATATATGACTGTTTGTTTTCCACAGCATATTCAATTCCTATGAAAGAAGCTAAAAAATGTGGAAAAATTCTAATTCTTTAGTGTGAAGTGTGATGATAAAATGAAAATGTCATCAAATTTCAGGACGCATTCTATTGTATAGACAATACAAAGCTAAAATACGAGCGGTATCTCTCCCAAAGTCCAGTGAATTTAGACCGATTTCGATATCGCTTAACCGATATTACGGTATCATGTCCAATACGAACTGCACGTCGTTATAAAAAGTCAAGAAAGAGAAGCTGATATTATTTTAATGGATGATAATGGAATGATAAGTCCGCCTACGCTAACGGTACACGCTGGTGGAGCACAAGTTGGGGTTGATAGGTGAGAAAGAAAAGGCAGATAGGATTTTAACACGTTGGTTTCCAGGGTGCACCATATGTAGGTCAATATATTATAAAACAATACCCTATATTGCTAGCAATGGAACTGAAAGTCCACATTACTAACAATCCCTTCCCCCCAAAACCTGATATTAGCGCGCTACAGTCCAAAGGTGGGAACAATAGGTAAACCATGAATGTGTCTTTGGACTTTGTACAATCGGAGGAGAAAGAAGTATTTAGAAGTTAAATGATGTCTAGAGCTAATATGATAGTAACCCTAAATATTTCCTTTAAAATTTATTTTTTACACTTCGTTCAACAGATCTTGTTTACCGTTGTGTAGATACCTAATTAAAATAGGTCCATCGAGTAAATGTATGTATTATGTATCAACAATATAGCGGAATTATGAAAGTGAAAGTTATTATAGAGTCGTTCAAAGGCGTACACATCTACCACAAAATATTTATACGTAACATACAAATACGGAACTTGGCTGCCACAATCGTAACTATGAATGTATGCGAATAATTTGATTATCTCAACTTGTCACTAAATAATCACTCTATCGCCACTGCATGAATTCAACTTTACATGATTCCTTTAATTTATTGATACTAATTTTACTTACTTGATTTACTTTACTTAATTGATATACTATTGTCTATACTAATATTATAAAGAGGAAAGATTTGATCGTTTGTTTGTAATGGATAAACTCAAAAACTACTAAACCGATTTTTTTAATTCTTTCATCCATAGAAAGTTGTATCATCAGCGAGTAACATAAGCTGTATATTATATATGAAAAAAATATCTACACGTGCGAAGTCGGGCCAGATTTATAGTTTCTTAATAAAATATTCTTTATAAAGTACCTACAGTCAAA